TGGGTTTCCCGACTCGTTACTGGGGGCCTTTACATATTCAGCTGCTTCCCAGTATCCCATGGAGACTCGAAGTTATGGCGCGTCTATGAGGGGCTTATTTATACCAGACTTAGTCTAATTGACATCCAAAGTTTTTTATTTGGGTGGATTCGCTATGAAGTGATGGCAACGTAGCGATCACAGTGAGAACACTTCAAATTTTCGGGTTGTGCCATGTCCTCCTCAGCTTTGATTTCTGATAGAAGCAATTGGAACTAAACGGTATCTTATCCTCGGCAGTAAGCATTAGAAAGCAAATAGAGGGCTTTTCCTAATCATCTTAGCAGGTGTTAGGTTTAATTTCATTAGGTAAATAATATTTTGCTCCTTTGCATCAGCAAAGCAGGTCCCTTCCACCTTCCCTTCCACCTCATTACGCGAAACCATCTGATTTGATTAGAATTGCAGCTGCCCGTCGTTTTTCCTGTAGATGCACTATAAGTAGGCTAAACAGACCAATAAAAAGAGTATTGATGAAGTGTTTGTTGTTTGATGTGTTTTTTAATTTCATTTTTGTCGTTTTAATCTAATTTTTTCTTTTGTTTAATGGTGTTTTGTGTGATGAGTGGCGTTCCTATACCAGATGTGGTCGATAGTGGTGGAACACCAAGACGATCACCAATCGGAAATCGCCCATCAGTACAGAGCCTGTTCAGCCAGTTGGAACTCAACGATCACGATGGGATGTGGGTGAAGCATGAGATTTTATAGTTTCAGTTTAATCACTTGTCCGTTGGAAATGGCTGCATGTTTCATAATTCGGTTAACGTTCTGCGTCGAGTCTAGGGGAAGCCTTTATGTGGGAGGTCCTATACTTCATGGGATTCTTCCGGGAGAGTGAACGCATCAGATCGGTCCCATTCAATTCGTCGAGTGGTTTCTTTTTGCAAAAAAAAGTAATTTCAAATGCAAACTCGGTAACTTTTGCTCATTTATAGTAGCTGCCCTTACAGTGAACGAAGGACTGTGGCTGGAGGTGCTGCTATCACGCTTTCTGTAAAGGGATCAGAATTAGTACAGAATTTCGTGCAACGCAATATCCCACCTATTCTCCCAGGATCAGGTGATTTATACCTGATCCGCCTGATGCGGCCTCGTACACGAAGCCACAGCGTATGTGTATGACGGATGGTCTTCGACGGAGAGTCGAATCTGTCTACTTGGGAGGGTGGTCGTGATCTCAGCACGGCTCATTACTCAGCAGTAAGAAAGTGACGCTG